CGACTGTACATCTTGGCAATGAAGTCGTTGTTATACGTGAATAAATGGGTATATATCGTCAATAATTCAAAGTACATAAAGCCATGGAAGTAGCTTGTGAAAGGCAGAATGCAACTCAATGATCCGAATTGTCATGCACTAACACTGACTAACTGACTGACTGACAAAAGCAACGTAGAATCTCTCACAGAAGATCAACGATTCAAGTTGCCATACTTCACTGTAGTAGATATCAGTAGTATACACAGTAGTATAAGTGAGTAAATAGAATAACGGATAACCTAAAAGACCTACCCTGCGCCATCATCTGATTCGAAAATGAGTGAAGAATAGGCTACCATACATGTCTACATCTATGTCTTTTTACAAATTCAAATGCTTCTGTGAAGCTGACTATATATTAGACGTTGTAAGCTGGCCCTCCGGAAACATGTTGCTGAACATTACACGGTTTGGCTTATCAAAGGCGAACAAAGGATAACAATTCCATCCATATGTGAACACCTTATTGAATGAGACTATTCAACACCTTAAGGTTCATCCTTGAAAGTAATTGACAAAATTAAATTGAACTACTCCAAGGCTTAACGTTTCCACCACTTATGCACAACTGAAGCATTACCACCCATACATGAACATAAACTGAAACTTTGCATTGAAAAATGTTGTATGAAACCACTTTCTCTACCTTGGCCTTAATAATTCCTTGTTGGTTATTTTGTCAATTTCACTTCACCTCATTTTGTGATAATTCTCTTACGTCGTCATCATATTTTTACTTCACTGACAACATTTGAACTCATGTTTCACTATTTCATATCAATTCATTCCTTATTCATTAATCTATTCTACAGGTTTCGGTTAAATTATCACCGTTTCACAATTGTTTGATAACACTTGTCTCTTATCTCACCACTTGTCATCACTTCCTTCTTCCCTATTCAGTGATCCATTTTCTATTTCTTCCACTTGAACAAATACCGCCACCTACATGGATTGTATATTTTGCATATTGACTGAGCAACTGACTTATCAGTGCAATCGTCTGTCACTTTACTGAGAATAAATACGACTGTACATCTTGGCAATGAAGTCGTTGAGAAGAAATATTTCTTCCTCACTGATACCATGTCTCGTTCTTAATCAAGAAAAATGATAAACAACTGAAAATCAAGAGGTGAAGCAGAGGAACAGCCAACAGGAAAATCTACGTACCCAATGACACAGCAATCAACGGAAACAACCAATCACGAATTAGTTGGTCAGGGCAAGTTACTGAATCACTCACTCACTGACCGACAGATATTGGTAGCTCGGTTAATACTGAAGTTAGTACTGCTGGTGAAGATGTCTAGCAAGACGATGAAAGCTCCACAACTAAACAACCCATCTAAGACAACATAATACAACCAAGACCATCGACCTGAGCTACAAATATTCTCCACCATTTCAAAATTAAGATGAGCACCACATAGTCCAACATAATATTTCAAATACTCACTGATGGTATAGTGAATTGACGGAAATAGTATAGGTAGGCCATAGAATTCCAGTCTAGTGTTATACTACTCCCTGTAATATCTGAAAGTTGTGGGTCTGATCCTTCCCAAGGTCGTTATTACGTACTTATCAGAAGTTCCAAGTTAGGATGAAACGGCTTTCCAGTGCTCCCAGGTTTTCGTTTGTTTTCTAATTCATGTCAGTCCATGATGACAATCTCTTTAAAACTTCAAACGGAGTTGAGCTGCTGAATGACATAATGGTTCTTCTCAGACGTCCAACTGAACAGACCTTTTCTAACCATTTTATCACTAAATCAGTGTGTTGCTGGTTGCCACGTTCAAGGCTCGTTCCAACGCCGAATTAGTTACACTAGCAGAACTGGTGAGAACTCAGAATGCGTCACAATATCCGGTGAGTAGTAATATTAGTCAGAATTATGTGAACATGTACGAAATCCAAAAAGCGAAAGTAGCTTGATCAAGCCATCAGGAGTAAGAGTGGAAGATGGTCAGCTGAAGTTTATACACCATCGGTTGACTGTCAATCACAGCAGTTGTACTTCTCACTATTCTTTATCTGCTAACTGGCACAACATAATCCCATTTTAGAGTACTGAACTGAGGTATACTAGTGTAGGGTAAAGCTAATGAAATGTATATTGACCAGCTTCTGCTGAAATTTCGACACAATCACCTAACAACGTAGAAGTAACCCTAACTAGATTTTCACTTCATATGATACGACTCATTCAAACTGACTGGCTTTAAACATGATCAAGACCGAAAGCAACTGAAACGTATTCTGACCAAAAGTCTTCGCGTCGACACCAAACATTCGCCACTGACTAAAACACAAAAAATGCACAAGATATCACACTCGGCTAACATTCCACAGCACCTCAGCTATATTGAAGATATCCACCACCACAAAACATTGGTGAGTGAAATCATCACCGAAAAGAATGGAACGCTGATATCCCCTCACGACACGCACTTACAACGTTCGGCAGAACACTTCAAATCACAGTTCAACTAGCCATCACGAACGCTCCACTTACACAACACACAGCTCAAACCTGAATCGAGTGTAGACTTCAGTCCTACAAATCTCCTTGAATTGAGAAGGCTGTATTGTATCTGAAACTTTGGAAGACAGTGGGAACTGACAGTTTGCCACCTGAAGTTCACAGTGATGGAGGTGGGAGATTGCTCCTCAAAGTGACGACGATTGCAGGCAGTGGACGGGAATGAAAGGTAGAGCCATCAGACTGGCACACTTCACTCTTCATCCAAGTCTTTAAGAAGAGTGACAAATCATCTCGTGATAACTTTAAAGGAATTCACTCGACTGACATGTTGTACAACATCCTAAGCTCCATAATTAGTCGACCGCCAACACGAGCTCGAGAACAGTAAACTCGAGATAATCAGGCAGATTTCAGACCTAGCTGAGACTGCTTCCATCAGGTTTTCACTCATCGACAGGTACTGGAACACAACCACACCCACCAGTCAGCAGCCAACACTTACCATATTTCTTGACATGATCTCAAGGTGGTGTTTGACTCAGTGGGGAGTGAGTGAGGAGTACTGACAGTGTTTGACTGTGAACGGAGTATCCAGCATGGACATAAAGCCAGTCAAATCTCTCTACTCGAAATCACACACCTGTGTAAGCCCATATTTCCATTGACAACAAATAATACCACCCACCAACGATGTCCACTATCATCGTTCCCAGTCACATTCATTATAACTGTTCTGATTAACATTACCTCGAACACATCTAATCTCGTAGCGATTCATTCACTTGCTGCACCACATCTGGTTGATGTGGAGTATGCAGACGATATTTTCCTGATAACTGAAGACGCAGATAAAATGTGGATTGGGTCTTTCGAACACGTGGAACAGAAATCTGACTATGTTCGCCTGACATATGTTTCCCACCTGTCACAAAATGTACGTAGGATGATTCTGCATGACTGATGAGCTGCAAGTACTCTCAGTTCAATGATAGGGTGTTGAGTGATGGAAAGTGTTGACGACTTCACTTACTGTGGAAGTTACACAAGACCAGATAGGCTGGTTGTTGACGAAATCTCAGTTGGGATACAGAAGACCCACTTGGTATTTACCAATTCGCTCAACGTTTGTCGCCGAGTGGTGAGATATCCAGATAATAATGAAGAGACGAGTATATTGCAGAACAGTTTGTTGTGTGTTGTGTTGTGTACGGCTGTGACACATGTTCGTTAAATGTGGAATAGGTGAAGCGGTTATGGGTTTTGATCAGAGATGTCTTCGTATTATTGCTTGTGGTTGATAGGACCACTGTGTTAGTAATGTTGATTTCAGGTGAAGGAAGGGTACTAGGTAAGATAGGAATCAGTAGTTGACGATTTCTGGTGACTAGGCTGAACACCGGTCATAAGGGATATAGTGCATTCCAGCCTGGATACCTGCTAAAGCTTGAATATTCACACCGATATTTATCTTCATATTGTCAATTCTGTCACATATCTTTATCTACTTTGATGTCAATCTTTTTCTATCCACCCGTGTTCGTTGTATACTACTGTGAAGTGTGGCAATTTGACTCTATCCACCTGTGTACGAGGTCCTATCTGTCTGGTATATACAAATATGATTGTACACCTTTAAAAAAATGAAGTCTTCGAAAAAGAAGATTTTTCACGCTACATTTTCGTTTCTTATCTTTAAGATCATTTTTTGTCTTCGACTAGGTATGTCAAACTAAGAGACCATGTAGCGTGCAAGTATGTTCTGTACGTAATGTAGACTAGTTTAAAGAAAAATGTTTTCTATTAAACACTTCAACTGCGCCAAGAAGCGATCGCACACTATGAGTAATCATCATCATCCACCAAACATCAGAATTCTTAATGAATTTAAACTGTAAAGAATGGCTAGTGCGTCATCGGAACGTCTTCTCCAACACAGTCTAGAGTCTCTTGGCTTAGCGACCACATTGTGAAATCACCGACAGAATTCAGTTTGCACCTAGATGTTAAGAACCTAGAATCAGTTGCTCTCCAAAAACGCTTCAGGCTGGAAAAAGGCCGAGGTGGCCACACTAAAACATGGCACCAATGTTTGAAGTCTCTGACTGCTAGTTTGAGCCATGTAGGGAGATGCAGACTAGGTTGTTGGGGTCCATGGGACAAGAAGAACCAGTGGTTGGAGACTCTAGGTGATCACATGGCTCAGAACCAATGTCAGTGGCGCAGATGTATATACACACTGTCCTCGCCTTAACGACACTATACCGAATCTCACCATTTTGTCACTCCTCTTTCCTTTCTTCTCATACTTTATATTTCTTTTGACTGCATTCACTTATCTTCATCCTTCACCTCACTACCTTTTTACTTGATGTGCTGATATGAGGTGTGGCAACTCGGACCGTTACGCAGTAATGCCTGGTCCTATGTTGATAATGATGATGTACAATTCAATCAGTCACCAAGGATAAATAGCACAACAATAAATATCATTTCCTATATATAAATTATTATCATAATTATTACATTTTCACTATTATGATTACAGAATCTCCTGCAATACTTGACGGTAAAGTTAAATGAAAATAAAGCTTAATTAAGCAAATATTTTGTTTTCAATTCTATAATAGAAAATAGGCAGATTATTCAACTTGATGAAATCAACTCAATTTTAAGTTCATTTAAGTATAATTCAATATAAGCGTACAAAATATATGCATGTATGGGCTTGGATGCTTGGATAAATTTATTTATTCATTGGGTTCATTGAATAAAAAGAAACTAAAAGGAAGGGGAATATTTGCCAAGAGATAATTATTGACTGGTACCATTTTCAGTTGAAGAGAAAGTTGATTTTATAGCTAGAAAAGTGTGGTTCTCCTCTTTCTATGAAAATGGCTAACATATAACATCAAACATTACTACTCATTATCTATCGAAGTAAGGTAGATTTCTTTAACAATTTTAAATTCCCGCAACCCTCCCCCCTCCCGTTTCTCCCTGGACCGTCACTCATCTTATGAGGTACTATAGGATAGGAAGGAAGGAAAGAGACCAAACAAACATGGAGAGAATTAATTCTAAGTGCCATTGGAGGAACAAAGAAATAATCAATCAGCTTTACTTGGAAAAGGTTGTTACTTCAGCAGGCCAGGAGGGTGTGATTGGCTAAGAAAGTTAATAGTGCTTAGAACTAATCATTAAATGTGTACACAGAAGAGAGGAGAAAAAAGAAAGGATAGTTAGCCAAGAAAAACAATACAGAAAGAAACAAAACACGAGAAATATAATCTCACCAATATGCATAAATATCTAAGCTGACGTTCTATGATGGCAGCAATAAATACACTTTTATGTAGGTAATGTTCATATCACAAAACTCTAATCACCATAAACTCGGAAAATACGAACACCTAAGTATATACTGTTATTTTCTCCTCCACCCATCGATAAAAGCATAATAATGTATAAAGCCACGCCTTAACCACTTTGCTTATTCATTACAGGAAGCTATTTAATCAATAAAAAAAGTGCTGAGAATGAAATTTTCTAGACACTCTCATACTAACAAGCACGTACACACACAGATAGACAGACGAGAGATAGACAGACGAGAGATAGACAGACAGACAGATAAGCAATAAATTAGCAAAGGTAGGCTTTCACTGTGACGAAGTAGAATCTGTGATTAAATTCTGTTCTTCAGGTTCTTTATACTGTTGTTGATGGTGTTGACGACCGTTTGTTGGTGGTGTGGTTCCAGACAAATCTCCAGGATGTAAAATATTCAAATCTTTTTTATGCTTCTTTTTCAACTTTTTACCTGTTGATGTATCATTCCTATAGATTGATGGTTGTGATTGTGTTGATGTCAATGGTGTTGAATTTGTATAGTCAACTCTATCATGAGTATAACCTTTATGGAGAGGTTTTGTTTGTCCTTCCAATAATGATTCAGTTTGTTCACGTTTATATGTCTCTTCAGCACCGCCTTTGGTAAGCATTGCTTTGCGTAGTTGAGTTTTACGTCGACGAAAGAATCCTAACAAGTATAATAAAATAATCAAAACATATAAAACTATGACGCCTAATACAACACCAACAATAATTGGCCAAATTGGAATTTGATGTATTAACTTCGGTCGAATTTGTGGAAAGAAAAATGTTTGTGATAGGTAAAAATGTCCAATTGGCTCTTCAGCTGGTTGTACACCATCTGGTATATCACCTTGGTTGATTGATACAGTTGTAACAAGCTATGAAGAAATAAATATTTTAGAAAACGAAATTTAAAAGATTACTTATATTAAACTTTATATAACAGCAGTACAAGTGTGGCGTAAATTTTGACAAAAAATATCAACAACCAATCGAAAGAAATGACCTTGGTCATGTGATAGGCTTAGTTATTAGCCAATCGCAGCACCCACTTAATTTGTGACCTTGAACTTATTCATCAAATATTTTGGTGAACAAAGCTTCCTTCAAGGTGATTCAAAATGTCTAATTCAATAATGTGGGCGTATCATCAAACACACAAACGGTTACAACTATAGGCCATTGTAACGCACTGAGTTATAACAAAAACAGGAGGAACAATTGACTTGAAGTAAAACACAGATTATGTGCTTGTATCCTCTTGACCGACTGACTGACAAAAACAACGTATAACTTCACATCGGTTCAGGTTGCCACACTTCACAGTAGTATACAAAGAACAGGAGGATAGAAAAGGAGTGATGTCAAAGATGATAAAGTAGTGTGAGAAAACAAGCAATCAGAAGAAAACGGTTAGTGAGAATATTCAAACCTTAGAAGATGTCAAGGACTGTATATATCTGTACCACTGTGACTGATTTTCCGACATGTCGCCAAAAGTCCTCATCCACTGATTCCTTTCATCTCGGGAACCGAAACTAGGTAGTCTATATCTCCCTATACCACTCAGACCAGCAGTCAGAGACTTCATAAACTGGTGTCAAGTTTTGGTCTGCTCAACCTGAAACATCTTACAATTTAATCCGACTCCCGTTTGCATGAAGAGATAAGCTGTGCTTGGATATGTGCAGTCGTCTCAACCAATGAAGGCTCGCAACCTCATCAGTCGATTTAACTGACTTGCCTAGTACCCTTCCTTCACCTGAAATCAACATTACTAACACAGTGGTCCTATCAACCACAAGCAATAATACGAAGACATCTCTGATCAAAACCCCATAACCGCTTCACCTATTCCACATTTAACGAACATGTGTCACAGCCGTACACAACACAACACACAACAAACTGTTCTGCAATATACTCGTCTCTTCATTATTATCTGGATATCTCACCACTCGGCGACAAACGTTGAGCGAATTGGTAAATACCAAGTGGGTCTTCTGTATCCCAACTGAGATTTCGTCAACAACCAGCCTATCTGGTCTTGTGTAACTTCCACAGTAAGTGAAGTCGTCAACACTTTCCATCACTCAACACCCTATCATTGAACTGAGAGTACTTGCAGCTCATCAGTCATGCAGAATCATCCTACGTACATTTTATGACAGGTGGGAAACATATGTCAGGCGAACATAGTCAGATTTCTGTTCCACGTGTTCGAAAGACCCAATCCACATTTTATCTGCGTCTTCAGTTATCAGGAAAATATCGTCTGCATACTCCACATCAACCAGATGTGGTGCAGCAAGTGAATGAATCGCTACGAGATTAGATGTGTTCGAGGTAATGTTAATCAGAACAGTTATAATGAATGTGACTGGGAACGATGATAGTGGACATCGTTGGTGGGTGGCATTATTTGTTGTCAATGGAAATGACGACTCTCCATATGAGTTTACACAGGTGTGTGACTTCGAGTAGAGAGATTTGACTGGCTTTATGTCCATGCTGGATACTCCGTTCACAGTCAAACACTGTCAGTACTCCTCACTCACTCCCCACTGAGTCAAACACCACCTTGAGATCATGTCAAGAAATATGGTAAGTGTTGGCTGCTGACTGGTGGGTGTGGTTGTGTTCCAGTACCTGTCGATGAGTGAAACCTGATGGAAGCAGTCTCAGCTAGGTCTGAAATCTGCCTGATTATCTCGAGTTTACTGTTCTCGAGCTCGTGTTGGCGGTCGACTAATTATGGAGCTTAGGATGTTGTACAACATGTCAGTCGAGTGAATTCCTTTAAAGTTATCACGAGATGATTTGTCACTCTTCTTAAAGACTTGGATGAAGAGTGAAGTGTGCCAGTCTGATGGCTCTACCTTTCATTCCCGTCCACTGCCTGCAATCGTCGTCACTTTGAGGAGCAATCTCCCACCTCCATCACTGTGAACTTCAGGTGGCAAACTGTCAGTTCCCACTGTCTTCCAAAGTTTCAGATACAATACAGCCTTCTCAATTCAAGGAGATTTGTAGGACTGAAGTCTACACTCGATTCAGGTTTGAGCTGTGTGTTGTGTAAGTGGAGCGTTCGTGATGGCTAGTTGAACTGTGATTTGAAGTGTTCTGCCGAACGTTGTAAGTGCGTGTCGTGAGGGGATATCAGCGTTCCATTCTTTTCGGTGATGATTTCACTCACCAATGTTTTGTGGTGGTGGATATCTTCAATATAGCTGAGGTGCTGTGGAATGTTAGCCGAGTGTGATATCTTGTGCATTTTTTGTGTTTTAGTCAGTCGCGAATGTTTTGGGTCGACGCAAAGACTTTTGGTCAGAATACATTTCAGTTGCTTTCGGTCTTGATCATGTTTAAAGCCAGGCAGGTGGAATCAGTCTTTAGTTCCGATGACGTTGCGGAAATCCAGTGACGTTTGCTGGTCTTCGGGTTCAGGTTGCCAGTTCTCTTTACCGCTGTTTCTGTGGATGACTGAATATCATGCCAAGTTTCTTCAGCATGTACGTTAATATGAAGTTCAGATCTAGGATTTGATGAGTTCTCTCTATGTGGATACTTGGCGTCGTCATCTAACAATCGTCTACAGATAGGCTCACTGCCTTCCGTTTCCTACGGGGAGTATGTCAGAGACTTACACAAGCCAGCACTACTGCACGATGCGATTTTAAACCTTTACTCCACAGAGGGCCTCATTCCTCCACTGAATCTCTCCAACGATGCAGTGTAGCAGTGTGGTCTGTCTGTGTCCATGGTTGGTTTGAAGTCGGTGGACACCATGTGAGACAATATCGCTTTTTATATCTAAAGTTGGTGCTGGCCGGAAATAATCGATTTTCGGAGAAGAACTACAACGACGATCGCCATTTTCAGTTCATTGGCATAGGATCCCATAAATACTTCCAAGATACCTCCCCTGTTGGCTGACCTGCCATTACGGCTTTATGTGAATGGTTTGCTTTTTGCATCAAATTTGACAGTTTCTCATAGAATTCATCCTTTGCATCATCCGACCTACAGTCGGTAACCGAGTAAGCGGATATTATGAATGGGCATCACCTAGTTTCACAATCTTTTCTAGTCCTTACAAATCCATTCAGTCAAACAGTACAGAGATTGCGGTTTACTGGAATCCAGTCGAGGACTGCGATTTATGCTATACAACGTAATGCTATGCCAACACCAGCGAGTTCACGAGAGCTATTGGGTATCCGGATACTCCTAAAATGAATTTCGAAGATTCAGTACTATGGTCAGTTCTGGTAGATTTAATAACCCAACTCGGGTCCTGTATACGTGTCTCTTATACACAGCATGCATCCAAGACTAGAGGTTCCAGAATTTTGGTGAGCGGTGCTTGCCATGGGGTTTGGCATAGAGTTCAGACGTCAAAAGCTCCTACATGAAATAGATAGCAAGGTCTTGAGAGATCAGGAATGAGGTTTCAGTGGGTTTGATTGTCGGGAATGATCGTAGAATGAGAGGTTGGGAAAGGTGTAAGAGGCTTAATATGAATATCAGCAGGTAAAGGTAAAGGAGGAGACAGAATTAGGGCAAGAGTTTGTGCTCGATTGGCTCTTTTGTACTACTGGAAGTACTGGACATTAGTTATTTCGTCCTTGTTACAGTACTCCTCGACAGTACGCACCCACAACCCCGCCAAGCATGAAACTCTAGACCTTCAGATTTCACAGCCAGTGCATTAACCATTGACCCACTGAGCCGGAGTTCAATGGTTCATAGTTTCGTACGGTTGTCAATTCACGATATGGCGCGACTCCCCTCCAAAGTTCTTTGTTAGCATCTGCTTCACTTCCGACTGATTGATCCCACGTTTCACGGTTTCTTAAAGAGGTGCTATATCACGATGTGACAGAAATAGGAAACTGTGGACGTTAAAATTCGACTCTGTGGCTGAATGCTTAATGAGTTCGCTGTGTGGCCTAAAGGTCTTGAGTTAAGTACCTGACGGCGACGTGGGTGCGTACTGCTGAGGAGTCTCATACTAGGACGAAACATCTGCTCCTCAGTGCACTCAGGCTTTCAGTGGTCTTACAACTGATTTCAGTCCGTCATGAATCGTACCTTATATTTATTATTATTATTATTTATCCTTTGGGTTCCTAGTGGAACATAGGGCTTCAGTAGCACGTCGCTATTTTACTCTCTTCACTATAGTCTTCTCAAACTGGCTCCAACACTGCCCAGAAGCCTTCATTTCTTCCTCACACCATCTTCTTCATGTAACCCTCGGACGCCCAACTCGTCGTTTCCCATTTGGGTTCCACTTGACTTCCTGGCCAGGCGCTTGATATCCCCAAACCGTCTTCTCAGTGCATGTTCGATCCAGTCCAATCCATCTCCACTGTCTTCTGCATATTTGTTAGGCAATGGGTTTATGGTTGGTTCGTGGCCAGCCACACTTCCTTGTTGCTTATTCTTATTGTTCTGACCATCTGATATTCAGTATCGGGTGAGCGTAGGAGACACCTGTTCGTGTCATTTATGTCTGCACTTTGTTGGAAGTGCTTTTCGTAACACACCAAGTCTCTCAACCATCACGTAGAAGGACGGACTTGCTTGACTGAATTACTGTTGAAAATCCGAAAGTTGTTCAGGCTTTATGCTGAGTGCAGTGCACTCACACTGATTTCAGATTAATGAGGTCCTGTCTTGCTTTTCCGAATCTGGTTTTGTCATCTTCATCTGTGCCGCTGCCGCTGCTTGTAGTTGAGAGGATGCTGCCTAGGTAGGTGAAAGAGACAGCTTCCTTCAGATTCCTCCCGTTCATGGTGATTGGTGCGTGTCGCTTCTGTTGGTTGGGTATCTTTATCACCTCTGTCTTCTCCACGTTCACCTGAAGTCTGTC